GGCCACATTTATCTCATGCCTGCACAGCCCTTGGCTTCCCTGCCACCTTATATGCAGCACCTTGCCCAGGGGACTGCACAGTCACCACCGGGCCTGTTTCCCTTGAAAACTGGATGGGGGATCCTCCACCACCACCCCTGGCTGTGAAGGGTTTGTGCCCACCCCTCCATCCTCCTGAGGTGCTTGGGCCAAGGTGGGCAACTGTGCCCTTAAGTTATGTCCTACCCAAGAGTCAGTGATGATGTGAGAGACACTAGTGACCAACACAGTAAGTACCCTTGAACCCCTATATGCTGAGTGACATCTTGGGGAGGGGGGAACTGAGGAGGAGGAGGCCGGGTACCTGTTCAAGGTAAGCTCAGCACCCAGGAGGCCAAAGGCAAGGCCCCTACCCCTGGCCTTTGGGGCTCCCAGTTGGCAGGGATCAGGGAGAACAGGGGCTTCCCTGCTGGCTCAGCTGGTAAAGAATCCACCTGCAAAGCTGGAGACCTGGGTTTGATCCCTGGGTTGGGGCGATCCCCTGGAGGAGGGGATGGCAACCCACTCCAGTAGTCTGGCCTGGAGAGTCCCATGGACAGAGGAGCCTGGTGGGTTACAGTCCATGGGGTCGCAGAGTTGGACACGACTGAGTGACTAAGCACAGTGCTGGGAGAGCAGTGGGGAGGCAGACTCCCACCCAGAAACACAGCCAGGAGATTCCTGGAGAGCAGGTGGGATTCTCCCTGAGAGCAAAATCCACATTCCAGGTCGCAGCCTGCAAGGCTCTGTGTAACCCGACTCCCTGCTCCCCCTCTGACCTTTCTTCCTGCTTTTCTCCTCCTAGGTCACTCCACTTCAGCTGCACTGCCTTCCTTGCTAATCCTGAAAACACCAAGCACATTTCTTCCCCAGGACCTTTGCACAGGCTGTTCCCACTGCCTGGAAAGCTCAACCCCTAGGTACCACCCTCACTTCCTTTGGTTCTCAGTTCAAAAGCCATCTTATTGGAAACCCCCTTCCTACCCCCATCACTGTCACTCTCTGTCCCTTTTCCCTGCTGCACAAGGGTGGGACTGCCCACTGTTGGAGGTAATAAAGGTGCCAGCCAGGAGGTCAGTGTCCTGGCTTTGACCTCTCTGATGATAGCTGAGAAGTGGATGTGATTCTAAAAGCCATACATGGAATAAGGAGCAGGCCAGTGCTTGAATATTTCATTAGTAATATTTAACAAATGCAGAGTAAGTTTTGTGCCCTGCTGCTAAGTACTTTATATATAATACACATTTAATTGTCATCACAACCCTGAGGCTGAGGAGTGGGATGGGGAGTGGAAAATTCATTATCCTCATTTACATGGAAAATGGAAGCACAGCAAGGCAAAGTAACTCTCCCAAGTTCACACAGCTGGGTAGGGGCCAGAGTTGGATCTGAATCAGAGACATGTGGCTGCTGAGCCCATGACCTTGGCCCTGAGGCTGTGCTCTATCTCTAAAGTAAGATCCATAGAATTTTGAGGAGCTTAGAGAGCCTGCTGGGACTGGCCTGGCACTCTGGAGTTTTGGGGAACCTAGGGGAGCTGAGGGCTAATTAATGATTGACCATCACATCTCTCTGCAGCACAATTTTAGCTTTCAAAGCATTTACATTCCTCACCTCACTCAGTCCATTAAACTACTCTTCCCATTCATGGGACAGAACTTGTTCCTCATCACCTGGGAGGCCAATGGCAGAGCTGCAGAAGGGGTTTGGCAGGGTAGGGGAGGTATAGTACGGGAAACTCCAAATCCTTTAGGGAAGTGAGTAGGTGTTGGCCCCCTTTCATGTGTGCATGCTAAGTCACTTCAATCATGTCTGAGTCTCTGTGACTCTAGGGACCCGAACCCACCAGGCTCCATTGTCCTTGGGATTCTCCAGGCAAGAATACTGGAGTGGGTTGCCATGCCTTCCTCCAGGGGATCTTCCCAACCCAGGGATTGAACCCAGGTCTCAATGTCTACCTGTATTGGCAGGTGGGTTCTTTATCACTAGCACCATCTGGGAAGCACGTTGGCCCCCTTACCGCATGCCAAACCCTGATGAAGTGTTAAGATAACACTGAGGTGCAAATGATCATCATCCCCATCTCAGAGATGAGCAAACTGAGGCTCAGGGGCCTGGGGAGGGAGGGCTTTAGTGTCCCTCGTCTTTCGATGAACTTCAGGCTGTATGCTTAAGATGGGAAGGAGAGTCTGCCATGGAGGGTAGTGTCCAGGGCTGTGGAAGAAGAGCAGCAGAGAGAGGATGACAGAGGGTGATACAACTGAGCCCTTTCTCTCTGCTGGCCCTTGCTCCTTCGTCCAGCATCTCCTGCTACTCCCAGGAGTCTTGCTTGTGAATCTTGTCTTCACACCTAAGTACTTTCCCCTCTGACATGAGAACCCCATTGGTGAGCTCTGAGCACTGCCTGGGGAGTGGGGTGTGATAAGATGAGGAAGCCAGTGTCTGCCACTGTCTTGACCTTGGGCCCACCCACACCCCCAAGGGAAAATGCCACACCAAGCTACCAAGGAGAGGCTGACAGATCCAGCTTTACAGTCCCCTTAGAGGACCAAGAGCCAAGATCATGGGTTCCAGGGAGCAGGGGGACTGCAATACTTTACTCCAAACCAGAGCTTGGCACTCCCCGCCCCAACCCAGTAACCCCATTCCTGACAAATCCCATCCTACAGGAAGTCGGTTATGGCATCTCTTCCTCTGTCTGGGCCTCTCAGAGCCTCGCCTGCCTTCCACTTCCTCTGCCCATCACCCCATGTCCAGACCCTGCCTGGGGGATGGGGGAGCTCTGAGGCTTGGCCCCTCTCCCAGCTGGGTGCCATTGGCAGCGGGCAGGCAGAGGCATACAGGGTAGACTCTGGTTGCCATAGCAACCTGCCAAAGTCTTGGGTGGAGGCACATGGCCTACGGGGTGTATGGGGGGCGGGGACTCATCTCTCCCCATCCTAGCTCAGGCCTCTGGGCTGCAAAGCCTGGGAATCTGGAGCTCTGCTGTTTGAGACATGAGAGCGGGTGAGTGTGTGTGCTGGTAAGGAACACCTAAAAGATCCGCAAATGAACTGTCACACTTCTAAGCTCCCTGCCTCACCCCTAAAGGGTACACCTCAGAGCATCACAGCATGAGCATAAGGTGCCCCCTCTAAAAGGCCCCTGTCAAAATGCAAAGACAATCATTAGTCCACCTGCTGAAGCCCCAGCATAGGCATCAGAAACTTGAGTTCTAGGCTTAGTTCTGCCACTGGTAGGCTATGTGACCTTACACCAGCCCCTGTCCCTCTCTGGCCCCAGTTTCTTCAACAGCAAACAAACAGGGCTAGTCTAGATGACCTGTGAGATGCCTTCAAACTGTGGATGGCTACACAGTAGAGGAAGATGAAGGTAGGTGCCTGGAAGATGCTCAGTTGGGAGGAGGCTCTATGCTTATCAAAGCTGCCTCCCGGCTTAGAGTCAATCCTAGCTCTTTCTCAGCAGGCTTGCTGAGGCATAGGTCCCATGCTCCTGCCCAGGACTGAGACTTTGGATAGTTCCCATGACCCCAATGGGACCACAGAGCATCTGAAAATTGGTGGGAGGTGTGGGGGGCGAGTCAAAGTGGGAACTGCAGTCCTCTGGACCACTGAGGTTGGGAGAGCAGGGGTTGCTCAGGGGCACCTCCAGGCTCAAAGATGTTTGGCTTAGGCTGCGGCCAGCCCAGTCCATGGGAAGAAGTACCACCACTTCTCTCTGTCTGCAGCAATAGCCATTCCTACCTCCTGAGAAAGGATGCTCCATTAGGCTGACCCTGGGTGGAGGGGCTGCCCTGCCCAACCTCTGCTTCTGTCCCAGAATCTCTACAATCCCCTCTGTTCTGAACATGACTCCCTTCAAACACCCTCTGCTCCTCGGTCCTCAGGCCAGGCTGGAGTGCCACTTTGCCAGTCGAGAGTGGGTCCTCCACCATCACCCCCTCTTCCAAACCCTCTGAGCACCCCCATCTTCCCCACACAGCTGGCTGGGGAGAGCTCAAGCCCATAACTCCAGTTCAGTCACTCTCCCTGCCGTCTCTGCAGGGACCCTGGTTACAAGGAGTTGAAATTTGCCTAAAGCCCACCTGGCTGGCATAATGGCACCCAGTGGGCAAATTCAGGCCAGCGGCTCAGAACGCTGGTCATGCATTTCAGGCTCGAACACAGCCCAGGGGGCAGGGCTGAGGACATGTGTATCTCATTACCCTGGCGATGTGGGAAGCAGTAATTAAACCAGCTCCGCTTAGAGAGGCAGAGAGGGACACACATACCAGGATCTGTCAGTGACTTTTCACCCTTGGCAAAAAAAAAAAAAGAAAACCATTCGGAATCGTGGGACAGGGATGCGTCCTTCAGAGGAGCTCCCTGCCCCTGCCAACACACACAGAAACAATGATATCCACTAGCAGCCCCTAGACCCGCGTTGAGACGCAGAAGGCAAAGCCGGCTTTCATTTTTCCAGGATCAGGGTTCTAAGTATCTGTGTGATCACCAGGGAATGCTCAGAGCTGGGACTCGGGTGGTAGGGACTGTCTCAGTAAAGCCACCCACGCTCTCCCCGTGCCCTCTGTAAGCCAGTCAGAGACTAGGAGGCAGATGGTGGGGTCAAAGGTCAGCTTGGGTCCCAGAAGACTGTCTTCTACTAAGAGACTGTGGTGGGATTCCGTCTTTTATTGGCCACCATGGCAGCTCTGAGCCAAGGACCCACGACATGCTGCCTAAGCAGTCCCTGGATCAAGCAGGCCCCTCCAGCCCTGGGGTGCAGTGACATCTTTAGCAAAGCAGATGTGGGGAAAGGAGAACAAGAAGGAAGTGCCAAGCAGAGTGACACAGGTGCATACAGCTTTGCTCGTGCATGTGTGTGTGCGTGCGCGCGCACACACACACACACACACACACACACATACAAACACACACATGTGAGTATGTGTTGGTGCCAGGCCCAGGAAACCTGGCCTAGGGGCTGCCCAGCCCCTCACTCACCTCCCTTAGCTCCTTGGCCACCTCCTTGAGCTCTCGCAGGATGTCCTCCAGCTGCCCGATGACCATCTTCATGCGCTGTCGAATCCGCTCCCGCTCGCCACCACTGCTGGGGTCGTCACTGGGCTGCCCGAGGTCCGGGGTGCCCCGAATGTTCATCCTTCACCACGTGGCCGCAGGCCTGCCCATGCTCCCCCCAGCCAAGCACACGCTGCGTCTGCCTCCACGGAGCCCCCCTCAGCAGGGCAGAGCTCCACATCTTAACGGCCCCCCAGCCCACCCTGGCCCTGGGTGGCCCTCACCCAGCCCCAGCCCCCTGCCACCACTCCGCTCCTCTACCTCTGGGTGGAGAATGGGACACCCAGAGGGAGACAGTCTGACAGAGGGGGTCAAGGTGAGGACACAGGAGGGCAGGGGGAGGGGCCTTGGGTCTCAGGAGTGGTTTCCAGGACTTGAAGTGCCTGTGGGTATGCTGAGCTGGACACAGAGGCAGGGGGATGACTCTGCAGGGACTGAGGGTAAGAGGTGCCCTTGGGATGGACAGAAGGCAGCAGTAATCCCCTCACAACTCCTAGGCAATTGCAAAGGCCGAGGTGTCGAGATGCAACAGACACCTGCAGAGGGATGGTGGCCAGGGCCTTCCAGATGTGAAGGGGGCTCCAGATGTGGGTGGCTCTGGGAAGGGAGCCGGATTGGAGGAGGGCAGCCCCCTGCAGAGAGAGCAAGTCTGGCGTCAGCCTTCCCAGGCTGCAGCACCAGCCGGCAATGCAATGCCGCTGCCTCCCTCCTCACCCCAGCCTGCACCCTTTCTCGCTGGGGATTGGAGTTTTTTTGTTTGTTTGTTTGTTTGTTTGTTTGTTTTTTTCTTTGTGGGGGGGATGGTGGAGGCAGATGCTCTAGAGCACAGTCTCTCCTCTAGAGGGGAAAGAGGGAGCCCCTGCTTTAGAAGCAGAAGTCCTCAGCCTGCCATGGGGCACCCTGCCCTGGCTCCCGCCACCCCCACCCAGGCCTGGCCCCGCTGGTTCACTGGAGGGCCCCTCCAGTCTTCCCGGCTCTCTCCAAATGCCCCGGGGGTGCTCTCGTTCCCAGCTGGACCTTCCCTTCCCCAGCCCCGCCTTCCGTCAGAAGCCCCACTCCGCTCTCGGACTCACCAAGGGTGGGGGCACCGACCTTCCTTCCGAGCAGCGTCGGGGGCCAAGTCCCAAGACGAGGTTGGGGGCCCCCAAGGCTCCCTAGGGCGGGCTTCTCTCTCTGGACCCTTCGGCCCCTGGCCTCAAGGAGGTCCTCAGAGCCGTCACCGGAGACATCTGGGCGGTGGGAGGGGGCGGGGCCTCCACGCTCCAAGGAAGGGGGCAGGAAAAATCTCCGTCAACCCCCGCCGGGCTCCGGTGGGTGGGGGGAGGGGGGGGAATGAGCAAGGTTCCAGCGGGTCCGGGACTCCGAGGCCACAGGTGACTCGGGCACAGGGCGACCGAGGCGACGGCGGGCCGGTCCCAGCGCGCAAGCCAAAGTCGGAGGGATCGGAGGGCGCCGGGATCCCCTCAGCCCACGCCCGGTATTCCCCGGGCTCGGCACCGTCCGGGATCCGCTCTGTCCAGTCCAGATCGGCCGGCTCCGGGCTCCACCGTGGTCTCTGCCCTGCCGGGAGCGAGCTGGCGCCCGTAGGCGCCCGGGACACGCTCAGTCCGGACCCAGAACGACCGCGCTCCGGCACCTGCGGCGTCCGGAGCGGCCGCGAGGGTCCGCTCAGCCCAGCCCCGCGGTCCTCCCGGGGCGACAACGCTCTCGCGGCTCAGTCCACGGCCGGAACGGTCCGGAATCGCCGGGTCCCGGGGGGAGGGGCAGTGTTGGCCGTGGGGACCCGGTCCCCTCCGGGCCGGGCCGAGAGCGCGCGGGGCAGGGAACCCGGCCGGGCTGGGTCTGGCGGCCCGGGCGCGGGCGGGAGGGGCGCCGGGCGGAGGGGAGGAAACGAGAAGAGCGAGAGGAGGAAGCGAGGCGAGGGGAGGCGAGGGGAGCCGAGGGGAGGGGGCGCGCGGCGAGCCTGGCGGGCCGGGGCACACGGGGCTTGCAGCCTCCGCTCCGCCGCCTCCCGCCCGCTGGCTCTCGGCTCGCCGCCTGGCCGGCCCCCGGGCGCCGGGTTTGCCGGTGGGGCCACCGGGCGCCGGGTCTGGCTGGGCCTCCCTCGGCCGCCTCGCCCCGCCCTGCCCCGCCGGGCTCAGCGGGCCTGGGCCCGCTCCCCGAGCGCCGCGCCGCCCGCGCCCCGGCCGCCCCCGGCCCGCCCCGCCGCCCCCCGCCGGACTGGCCGCCCGGGCGGGCGCTGGCTCCCTCAAAGGCCGCCCGGCTGGCTCGGCTCCGCTCGCCTCGGCGCTGTAAGGGAAGGGGCCGGCCCGGCTCGCCGGGAGGGAGCTTTTAAAGCGACACACACGCCTCCCAGCGCCGAGCACCGAGCGCGCGAGCCGGGGGGTCTCGCCACCCGGGGGACGAGGAAGCGTCCGGCGCTGACGGGGGTGGAGGCGGACTCTCCCGAGCGCACTCCTGTTGACCTCGGAGTGCGGAGGGGCAGCGGGCTAGGGGCTTACTCGGGTCCTACCTTTCCGTAAGCCCCCATTACCCCTGCCCCCACTGCAGTGCTCTCCGGGCTTCCCTTTCGGCTAAATTTCCCGCATCAGACCTTCCTCCTTCCCCCTGTCATATCTCAAACTACTCATAGACATGGCCTTAAATCAGATTAATTAAGAAAATGGAATACCGACGACATTTGCTGAGCACCTACTGTATGCCAGGCTCTGTCTGGGCTGCATGGGGCTGGAGTTGGAGATTCCGCAGATGGATGAAAGAGATACATTAGACACAGGTCATTTTGTTCAGTTCCTTATCCATTTACTCAACATTTATTCAGCACTTTCTCTGTACCAGACCCCGCGCTCGACTCTGGGGTCACAGGAACGAAAAGCAGCATTTCAGGAAGCTCACAGCTTGTGGGGACATTCCTGAGTAAACTCACAGGTGGTAAACGCAGAGCAAAGGCAAGTTCTAGAAGCAACATAAGGGGGGTGGGAGCAACCGAGGCCAGCGGTTGGCAGGCTGTCCCTGAGGCAACCCCTGAGCTGAATTTCAAAGGAGAAGTAGGAGTTACCCAGGTGACTGTCAGTGAGGAGGAGGTGGGGGTGAGCCTTCCAAGCACAGAGAAGGGTGGGAGCAGAGGCTCAGAAGCAGAAGTGAGGGGAGGCGGAGTTTGAACCAACTGTGGCCTTTTAGAGAGATCATTTTGACAGCTCTGTGGAAAGTGGATTAGAGGAAGACCAGATCCTGAGAGACTCAGTCAGAGGCCATGGTTTGAAGCTTGGATTTTATACTGAGGTAGAGGAAAGACTCATTGGAAAAGTCCCTGATGCTGGGAAAGATTGAGGGCAGAAGGAGAAGAAGACGTCAGAGGATGAGATGGCTGGATGGCATCACCAATGCAATGGACATGAACTTGAGCAAACTTCAGGAGATGGTGAGGGACAGGTAGGCCTGGCGTGCTGCAGTCCATGGGGTCACAAAGAGTCAGACGTGACTGGGCTACTGAACAACAACAAAGTGGGAAGCTGTGGTCTTAGTGAGGAACCTGGTCCTGTTCACCTCTCAGGAGATCCCTCCAGGGCGTCGTGGATGGTGGATCTGAGAGCTAGGCCCCTGACAGGAGACCAGTTAGGAGGCTGAGAGAGGAGGGGGTCTACATGGGAGTAGGGATGGAGAGGAGGCAATGCTTCAAGAAATCATTCAGGAGAATGTGGGAGGACTTGGAAGATGAACTTGGAGAGGGAGTGGTGATCAAGGATACCTCTGCTTATAGCTTGAGAGACTAGGTAGATGGTTGTGTACCCACTGAGTTAGAGGAACAGATCTGGAGTGAAAATGAGGAGTCTGATTTGGGACAGGTGGAGACACCCTGAAGACAGTTGAGTATATGGTCTATGCCTGGGCTTGAGAGGGTTTGTTTTTGTTTTTTTTGTTTTTTTACTGCCCCAGGTCTTAGTTGCAGCATGCGGGATCCTTGATCTTCATTGTGGCATGCAGATCTTTAGTTGCAGCATGGGAACTCTTGGTTGTGGCATGTGGGATCTAGTTCCCTGACCAGGGCTCGAACCCAAGCCCCCTGCATTGAGAGTGCAGAGTCTTAGCCACTGGACCACCAGGGAAGTCCTGTTTGTTGTTGTTGTTTTGGTGGGGAGGAGGTGGGAGGAAGCAGATTGTCAGGCATTGAGGGATGAGTGGGTGGTAAGAAATAGGAGTTAGTAAATATAGGTGACATTATCAAAAGTTCAGATGACAAGGGAGTAGAGGTCTTGAACTAGAGGCAGATGAGGGGTCAAGGGAGGTAGAGCTGGGTGGTGGTTTGAGTCTGGCCCACAGGAGGCTTGAATTCCAGGGACAGTGATGTGTTGTGAGTTCTAACAGTTTCACTTGTTCTCCTAGTTTTCTCAGAGGTGTGTTCAGAGGAGTCCTTTGGAGGCACTGGGTCCTCCAGAAGCTGTGGAAGTATGAATCCAGCTGCCTGGGATGGGGTAAATGTTCTCCTGGGAAGGTGGGTCTCGAGGGCTCACAAATCACTTTGTTTAAAAATTGTGGTAAAATACACATAACATAAAATGTACCATCTTAATCTTTAAGTGTGCAGTTCAGTGGCATTAAGTGCATTCACATTGTTATCCAGTTGTCACCACCATCCATCTCCAGAGCTCTCTTCACCTCACAAAACCAACACCAAAATTCTGTACCCAGTAACTAACTCCCCATCCCCCTCCCCCCAGCCCCTGGCACCTACTGCTATTCTGCTCTTTGTCTCCTTGAGTTTGGCTACTTTAGATACCTCATGTAAGTGAACTTGTACAGCCCCACCAGTCACTTTCCTGAAAGCTATGATGCAAAGGGACAGCCAAAGTGAAAAATGGACTAAGCCTGAGAAAATAAAGTGAGTTTCTTATCTTGGGTCCATGGAACCATCTGCCCACATCCTGGATGGGGGAGGTGTACTTGAACTTGAGTGTGTTAGGAGACAGTGAACTCAGTTTGAAAGGATAGGATGAAACTACGTAATACCTAATTGATGTTGGGTCACATTAATAGCCTGGAGGAGGACATGGCAACCCACTCCAGTATTCTAGGCTGGAGAATCCCATGGACAGAGGAGTCTGGTGGGCTGCAGCCCATAGGGTTGCAAAGAGTCGGTTACAACTGAAGCAACTGGGCATGCATGCGCACACATTAGTAGAAGTGTGGTGTTTGGAAGAAGGAAGGTAACATTTCTTGTCCTCTGTGTGGGTTAAACTATGTCTAGGACCCGGATTCACTGGGTGTGTCCACGGGAGGGCAACCAGGATGGAGAATGTATGTGTGGGGAGCAGGGAAGACTTGTGTGTATGTGAAGAAGAGTTAGGCTAGTCAGGGAAGGCTGGAGGAGTCTCAACTCAGGAGCAGGGGTCTCTGGGTGTAAATCTTCAAAGGACTCCCACAAGGAGAGGTGATGCTCAGGCTCACCTTCCCTAGTATTTGGAGACTGACCTATCCTCTCTTCCCCTCAGCCTCCCTGGCCATCTGCCCAGATATCCCATCCTTCAGATCTCTGCTTAGATCCACCCCCACACCCACCTCCAGACAGCCTTCCCTAGTCCTTCAGTCAATAGGGAGAAGCAGAAGTACTCTTTTGGCCCTTTACCAAATGTTTCCCAGGGTATTCACTTAATGTGCTAGCTGTGTGACCTTTGGAGAGTCACTTAACCTCTCTGAGCAGGGATAAGGAGCCCATAAACATTTTTATTTTTTTTCCTGTTTTGGCTGTCTTGCCAAAAGTGGGGGGGAAGGGTCATTTTCTACTGTCTCTTTGACTCAGAAAAATAGAGATGATAATAGTACCTACTTTTCAGGGTCATTGTGAGCACATGGAAGCACTTGGCCCAGTGCCTGGGACCTAGTAGGTACTCCATAGACTGTAGCTGCTATCAGCTCTTATTAATGGCTTTGTGTCCATAAGCCTATTTCCTTGTGAGGCTGTGAACTCCCAGACACTGTCTGCCCTTGTCTTTCACATGGACCAATGGAGTGGAGTGGAGTTGACAGCTAGTGACTTTTACTTTGGCCTGTTTTCCATCATCCCACTTCAGGCATCCCTTTCCTTTGGGAAATTCCTCCCTGTTGCCACATAGTCCTGGTGAGGTGTCTGTTAAAATGCCCACTATTCCCACCCATCCCTACCCCATTGCCAGCAGGTAGGCATGTGATCCAGACTCCACCAATCACAGAACCCTATTTTTCAGCACCAGTAATTGGTTCAAGGAATGGGCACATTCCCAAGCAGTGCCAATCAGACTGTTTCCCTGGGATTGATATGTGGATGCCAGGAGGAGGAAGCATTCTTTCTCCTGAGGCACGAGGTTAAATGCTATAGTCTCAAGGCTATGAACAAGTCATTTTTTCCCATTAAATGTAGGATCCAAGCAATGCAACAGAGGGAAGGGGAATTTAGAGAGCATGCTAGTAGCATTGCTGACGGTTCCAACTTGGGCTCTCATGGCCTTGGTTCTTGCAGTCCTTCTTTCAGACCTGGGAGCTACAACAACAATCTCTCCATCTAAAAGAGCCAATATGCTCCTTTATTGTTCCAGCTCATTTTGTTGGGTTCTAGTCTCGTGAAACCAATAGGAACTTGACAAACTCAGGGAATACTAAACAGATAGATGATTGGCTAAATGACTGGATTCCCATTTGGGATGGGATGTCTAAAGTTCCTGAAGCTAGAGAGTTGGGAGCTGCTGCCCTGTGGCTATGGAAGGGAGGGAGGGTGTTTGGAATGACACAGAATCAGCAGGCTTGGATTTGTGTCCCAGCTTTGCCATTCACCAGCTATGTGATCTTAAGCAAGTTATTGCCCTCTTTGGATAAGTTCCTTATCTGTGAAGTAGACAAAGTGATAGTGACTGCACAGGATTGCCTTGAGGATGGAATGAGAAAAGGAACAGGAATCACCAACCTTAGTGCCCAAAGCAAGGGCAGGGGAGATAGGACCTAGAAAACCAGTAGCTGTTTTTGTTAGCCTGCAATCCATTGTGATGGATTGTGCAAGAAGATTTCCTGAAGTAAGAAATGGCAATCCACTCCAGTATTCTTGCCTGGGAAATCCCATGGACAGAGGAGCCTGGCGGGCTACAGCCCGTGGGGTCCCAAAGAGTCAGATTTGACTGAGCAACTGAGCATGCAATGCATGAGATTGGCATTCAGATCAGGAGGGAATGAAGATTCAATCTGCAAACTGGATTCTCAGAAGGAGTGAGTCCTGGCACCAGGGAGGCTGTGACAGGGCTAGAGTGAGTGTGTTCAGGCAGTGAGAGAGAGAGAGAGATAATGGAACAGCCAGCACTTAGGCAGTGGAGCTGGAAAGATCTGGCTCATCAGCTAGCTTTTCCACTATCCATGTGGCTCACTAAATCTTCCAAGCCTCAGTTTCCCTCCTCTGTAAATCCCTTCCTGAGAGTCATCCTGAGGACTAAATAAAGCAGTCCATGTAACATATGCAGCACAGGGCTTAATAGTGTTCAATGATGTAGACCATTTTTT